GCGGAAGTGGCTCTGTGGCTCAAGTGGTAGAGCACTAGCCTTGAACAAAAGAAGCTCAGAGACAGTGCCCAAGCCCTGAATTCAAGCTCTAGGACTGGCAAAAAAAAAAAAAAAAAAGGAGAGGCGGGGGTGGTTTCCATGAAACTACAGGGATGAAGATTACTGGCCATCACAAACCAAGAAATAAAGCCCAGATACCAAGTTTTATCTAGGATAGAAGACCAGGGTCTTCTAGCAGTAGGAAAACCCTAGCTTCTAGATCAGAAAAGAAAGCTTCATGTGAGTGCCAGATGATACATTTGGGCCGCAATAGTCCATGTCTCTTTAAGGGAAAGAGTCCTGATCTTGTTACCTGCTGGGTCTCTTTCAGCCATTAAGGAGAGGTTCAGGAAGAAAAAAACACCAGAGGGGTGAGGAATAAATCCATAATGGTGATTTTTAAACATTTTTCAAATAAACCTTTTTATTTTTTAATTTATTTTTTGTGGTTCTGGGGATAGAACACGGAGCCTCCTTCTTGCTAGAAAAGTACTCTACCACTTAGCCATGCACCTGACCCTCAAAATAAATCTTTAATAGAACCCAGATATAAAAACAAAGTTCTGGATAGATACAGCTTAGTGGTAGAGTGTTTGCCTAGCATGCTTGGCATGTGCAAGGCCCTAGGCTTGATCTCTGCTACCACAAAAACCAACAAAATTAAAATAATGCCCCCCCAAAGATAAAATAATGCAGACCTGTTTAATTTGCATTTTCTAATTTTTTTGGGGGGGAGTAGAAAATACTATACTTCACTTGTTGAGGTACTCTAGAAAATTCCTAAGAGACCCTGAGGGGTCTGAAAACCACTGCTTCAAAGAAAGCATCAAATCTGACTTCTCTACCCTAAAGCTACAATTCTGAGGAAAGAGGGAGTCTCCAGACCCAATGGGAAAAGAAGGAAGATGCCAATATACTTATGGACTTGCACTAGTAGTTACCAGCAGGACACCTCAGGATCTAGTGGTTTTATGTAATCATGTACCATGTTTTAAAAAAAAACAAAACATGTAAGAGAATGTGAAAGTATAGAACAGGAAGCGAGGTGATACTGAGGGAGTAGCGTTCTCTTTACAAAATGTAAGGAAAATACAATTCATTAGATCAGTAAGAAACAACACATGCACATACACAAACCCTTCACCAGAAGCTTCACACTAACTCCATCCTCCTCTTCTTCCTGCTCCTTGTATTGGCCACATCCCCTTCAGAAAGCCCAGGTTCCCCACAAGAGGCACTGGGCCTGCCCACTCACATCCGCCAAAATGTTGCATGCCAGCGTGGAAGACAAACCAAACTGCACAAATTTAAGCGTGTATTTACTTGATGTATATAGATACCTTTAAATAAAATAAATTCAATGATGAACCTGTGTTGTTGCAAATCATTTTTGGGGGGAATGAGGGTTCATGGGGCTTAAACTCAGGGCCTGAGTGCTTTCCCTGAGCTCTTTTGTTCAAGGCTAATGTCCTGCTACTTTGAGCCACAGGGCCACTTCTGGTTTTCTGATGGCTAATTGGCGATAAGAGTCTCATGGGAGTCAGGCGCTGGTGGCTCACGCCTGTAACCCTAGCTACTCAGGAGGATGAGATCTGAGGATCACGGTTCAAAGCCAGCCTGGGCAGGAAACTCCGTGAGACTCTTATCTCCAATAAGCCACTAGAAAACAGGAAGTAGCACTGTGGCTCAAGTGGTAGAGTGCTTGCCCTGAGCTGAAGAGCTGAGGGACAGTGCCCAAGCCCAGAGTTCAAGCCCTATGACTGACCAAATAAAGAGTCTCATGGGCTTCCTTACCTAGGCTTGCTTTGAACCATGTCAATATACATTGTTTTGCCTCATTAAAGTATGCAATTTTTTTCATATATGTATCCTATTAATCAGTGCACCATTCCACCATTGGTAGGTATTTAAAGTGTTCTCTTCATTTTAACACAACATCTGACCAGTGTCAATTGCTTTCTCTCCAGTGTGTCAACAGTCCCTGCCTGCTTTGCCAACAGCTCAATTCTATGGTACTGAGATCATCTACCACAATCACTTCCAACCCCCACTGCCTTCTCTGCTTATTCCTCCAGGCTTCACAGATGGAGAAAACTGCACAGAAATTGAGACAAATGGCTTGGCATCTGTAGCTCATCCTTGTAATCCTAACTACTCAGAAGGATGAGAGCTGAGGATCACAGGTGTAAGCCAGCCCAGGCAAGAAAGTATGGGAGACTTTTACCTTTAGTTAACCAGCAAAAAGCTGGAAGCAGAGCTTTGGCTTACGTGATAGAGCACCAGCCTTGAGTGAAAAGCTAAGAGCCAATTCTTAGGCCCTGAGTTCAAGCCTCAGTACTGGTACACACACACACACACACACACACACACACACACACACACACACACACACACACACACACACACACACACACACACACACACACACAGAGACTGAAACAACTAAAGATGAAGAACTTGCAAACTCACATGGCCCTTCAGGGCTGTTCCATAGCCCTGTGTATCCCTTCTTAGTTCCCTTTCCTGCTTTCCAAAGGACCTGGCATGAACCCTCACTCCTCAAGATCCCTGCCATCCTTGTCTCTAAGAACAATGTTTGTCTATGTAGAAGGAAAAATTAAAGAGATGATAAGCAAAATTCCCACCTCCCCACCTACACAGTTAACCTATATCTACAAATTCTTTCCCTTTTCCTTCTGACAAATGATGAATCTTCTTTCCTCGGCCTAAAGTAAGCCCCTTTCAGGTACTTAATGGATTAATGAGATTTCTTACATGAAACCCAAGTACTTAAAATAACATGTCAAAAATGTGGGTGATTTGCATCCTCTTCAATTGCCTATCTTGTTTTCTTGCAGATTTCCAGAAACACTGCCAAGTTTCCCATCTACACTTACTTTTACTTTCCTTCCTTGCCCCTTGCTCCTCCCCTCTACCCCTTTTTGACCCAGGGTCTACAATATGTACCCCAAGTCTGGTCTCAAGCTCCAATCCTCCTGCCTCTGCCTCCTAAGTGCTGGAACATAGGCTTCTATCCAAAGCCTGGCTTCTATTTGTACTTCCTTACCTCCCATTGCTCAGCCCACCTCCATCTGGTTCTTATTCTGCACAAAGTGCTTTTCCAAAGGCTGCCTTTTACCAAATAATAATTTCTCTGCTCTTGTCTTGCTTCATCTCTCCCTGTTTCCCACTCCTTCTTTCTTGAAATTCTACTCCTTGGGTTTCTGTGACCAAGCTCCCTTGGTTCCTTGACCTACAGCCTTCCTTGGCTCCTTCACCGGCCACCAGCCCCCTTCCTATCTCCCCCCAGTCCCTCTGTATAGCTCAAGCTGGTTCTGAAACAACCTTGTAATTCTCCTGCTTCAGCCTCACGAGTGCTGGGATTATAGGTGTGAACCTCCACTCCTGGCTATATCAGCCTCTTAAACAATGCTCTATTCTAGAATTCAGCCTTTGTTTCTTTTCTTTTCTTTTTTCTTTTTTCTCTTTCTGGGAGATGCCATTCATACCCTTAGCTTCCCTAACAATCCTTATATCAGTATCCACTTGCTCAAGGCCCCAGCACTCACTTTCAGGTGTCTCGAACAGGTTTCAAACTGAACTCATCTTTTCCCCAACTCTACTCTTTTCCAAGCCATCACTTTCTCTCCTTACTTTAACCAAGAAGCTGAAATTCTCAATATCTCCCTTTCTCAATAAACATAATGAATTTTCTAAATCAATATCGAAGTATATCACTAGATTCAGTCTTCTCCCAATCCATCAGCCACTGCCTTACTTTACCTTCAGTGCATCGATTTTTCCAACAGCCCAGAATGAACGACACTTCTGTAATTATACTAAATAGATTAAAACCACATAGATGGGAACTCTAGTGCCTACCATCTCTAAGTCTTGCTTCTTCCCACTGGTTCTCAGGTTCCAGAATGACTGCAATACTTATACCTCCCACAAACAGAATCATTTTTGCTTGATTCCATGTCTTTGCACACTGATGTCTGCCTGGTTAGCTCTTTAACCTCTGGCCAGAACTCCACCCAGCTTTCCATACCTAGCAGTCTACAAGGTCTGTAGCCACATTCCTTAAAAAAAAAAAAAAGGTTATGGGGCCTGGGTGCTGTCCCTGAGCCTTTTTGTGCACAAAGCTAGCACTCTACAACTGGAGCTACAGCGCCACTTCTGAACTTACCTATTTTTAATGTATTCTTAGGATTTTGTCTCATACACAGCTCTGATATGATCCAATAATGAAGCCAATATTGAAACTTTCTGATTGGCTAGCCCAGTGCCTTTAGACTCCTCCTAAAGGGCAGGAACTCTCTTATCTTCTGGTTCAGAAGGAATGAGCTGCAAAAACAGTATGGGGGGCGTGGCACACCAATGGAGGAAGGGTAAGCAAAGGTAGCCATTATACTCGATGTACATTGTGTAAAAAGTGAAGTACATAACTTGAGGGTAGGGACAGGAGGGAGACAACGGGGGAACCCGATGGAAGAAACATTACCAAGAAACATTATACTCCTAAACCCGACTTAGGATCTGTAACCCCTTTGTACAACTACTTTAATATAATAGTTATTATTAAGAGAACAGAATTGGGGACAAGTGCGCAACAAATACTTCAATAGTTAAATGAAGGAGGGAGGAAGGAGGGAGAGGGAGAGGGAGAAGAGAAAACGCATGAGCGTTTTTTCTGGCTTGGTTACTCAAACTAGGCAAAACCGGAAGGCGGTGACTTGGCAGCCAAAATGTCCCCGACCTGGGGGCGGGTCCAACTGGTCCGGGCCACACCTCCGCCGCCTAGTGGACGGGCTCGAGCCTTGAGCGGCCGCAGGACACGCTCTGGGAACCAAGTTCCCGCATTCCAGCTCCAAGCCAGGTGAGCCCATAAACTGCGCATGCGCGCGGGCTGAGCGCCAGGGGCGGAGCCAGCCTCGCCTCGCCCTACTCGCGCGCCTGCAGGCCAGCCTCCGGTCACGTGACGGCGGCGCAGGTGTGCACCGCTTCCGGGGTCGGGCGCCTGGATCGCAGCCGGCTCCCGCTTCCACTCGATCCGGTGCGCGGGAGACTATGGCGTCCTCTTCGGTCCCGCCAACCACCGCACCATCGGCAACAGGGAGCTCCGGCCCAGGATTTGGCTTCGCCTCCAAAACCAAGAAGAAGCATTTCGTGCAGCAGAAGGTGAAGGTGTTCCGGGCGGCCGACCCGCTGGTGGGCGTGTTCCTGTGGGGCGTAGCCCACTCGGTGAGAACCGGCCCCGGCCCCTGTAGCCCTGCCCCAAACCCTCCGCTCCGGTGCACGGGAGCGTCACTGATCCCAGGTTCCCACATCCCAAAGCCCTTGCGCTGTCACCCCCACCTTCCGAGCTGTCTTGGTCCCTGCCCACCAATCCCCAGAGGGGAAGGTCGTCCCCAGACGATCTCCAGTTAGTAACTTTTCTCTCCCTCTACCCAGTTCCGCCTCCCCTAGACTTGTACCTTCTTCCCTGCCCTCTGAAACCCAGGTCTCGGTTCCTTGACTCCTTCCTGCCAGGACCAGCCTCAGCCTCAGGCTATGGAGACTGGTCGAGTTCATACTTCAGCCCATGGTGGGGAGGGATGGCTCTCTTTGGGGTTGGTGAAGGCCCACGTGAGAGAGTGTGTACGTGAGGGGTTTGGGGTGGGTGGAAGGGATTGTTCACTTTCCACCTTGTTTTTTTTAGCCTCAGTCCTTGACTGTGGAGTCTTGGCTTTGTCTGGGGGAAGCTCCAGGCTTCTTGGACTTTCTAATCCTGCTTGCCCCTTCCTTTCCTCTCCAGAGGTACAGCATTCTGAGAAGCTACCCAACCATAAGCCTAAAGGTTGAACTCACTCAGATCTTCATGCTTACATGCCTTTGGTCTTAACTGCATCCCCCTTGTTGGCTTGAGTGGTGATGTTTAGTATGAGCAGAGAGAAGATTGAGGAACTCTGATCCCAAGGGACACTGCTTCCAAATGGCCTTGGAGTCAAGAAGAGGCCAAGGAGGAGACCTCTTTTTCTAAGGATGACTCTAGTGGAAGAAGCACAGTCATCCTTCCGACCCCTTCACATCTGGAGTGGGAGGGATGCAGGGATTTTGAATGTGACAGGGAATATTTTAATAATCAACGTCCTTGAATTGTTACAGTCATGGCAAACTAATGGAAGTGGAAGGGATGAAGAATGCTGGTGTTTTTTTTTTGTCGAATTCTTAATTTGTCGGTTAGAATGTGATTTGGGGTCTATTGGCTGACTTCGCATTTACAGTGGAGTGGTAATATCTTGTAGTGAATCTCCAGTCTAAGATATTGGTGTGGGTAAGGCTGTTGGAAGTAGGGCTGCCTCTCCATATGTACCTTCCAGGTGACTCATCCACCCTTATTGGAAGCTAAGGGGGGGGGGGTGTCCCTTTGGTAAGTATTGGGGGAATTAACATTTAAAACCTGCCTCAGCTTTGTTAGATATGGATGCTTTAGCTTGAATATACCATCCTCCAGCCAACACATATTGACTTCAAGTGTCTGGAATGGAGAAATTCTTTGAACATATGCCCTAGTGATGATTCAGCTTGCTTAGCAGGTGGTGTGGAGGGGGTAGGAAAAGCTCTGCTGAATTTCAAGCTAGGAATCTCAAGTGGCTTTTTTTTTTTTCCTGGAGGAACATGTTCTGTCCTCCTTTTCTGCTGAGAACAGGAGGAGTTTCATGCACTGCAGCCTGTGAGATTTAGGTTAGACTGCAGTTCATAATCTTTATTTAATGATAAAGTAAAGATAGGCAAGATTTTTCACTTATTTATTTAATAAACAGGACTATTGTGTGCCAAACATTGTGCATCTCTCAGATGTCAGTGATTAGGTCTTAGCCTTTGAAGAATTCACGATCTTGTGTGTGTGTGTGTGTGTGTGTGTGTGTGTGTGTGTGGTGGGACAATTTGCATAAATTGGTGATCAGAGTCATGGGCATATATACTGTTAGGGATAGGTCAGAGGTGCTGTAGAGGTGCTGTAGCAACATCAAGAGGGAAGTACATCTTATTGGGATTCCTAAGCATAGGAGCCCCTTTTCTACCTTGAATTAGCATGCTGTAGGTCGTGATGTCTGAGGTGAGCATGTGATGCCTGCACCTTTTGGGCTGTGGACAGGCTTGACTTTAGGGAACAGACACCTATTGAGCTCTTACTCTTTGATGGTCTGCATTCCCTCTGAGGTCAGCTGTTCCTCCTTTACTTTAAACCCAAACAGATGGACATCTCTGCAGAGAACTGGGTCGTAGTAGTTTGTGAAGACTATCCTTTTAGTAAGGAGAAACCTCTTACGGGGAAAGACATTTTATTCTTCTTGCTGCTGTTGACCCCCCTCAGAGTCCCATTAACTCTTCAGGGCACTTTGAAAATGCCTGCTTTTTAGTTGAGTGTGTACCTTTGTCTTAATCCTGCAGAAGTTGCTTTTTTTTTTTTTTTTTTAGAATTTCTCACAACTTTAAAAATAATCTGAGTTGCTTACAGGGCTTGCCTAATATAAGTGACTGTTGAGAGCATGAAGTTCCATGGGAGTGGGAGTGTGTGAAGTGTGAGAATTGCTTACAGCAGTCCTCCTTGGGAAGCAGAAGGGGTTAGAGATTATCTAACATCCTTTGACTTCAAACATATGCATAGCTAGTGATTTTAAAGAAATGGGGTTTGAATAGTGCTTTCCTGACTCCTGCCCGGACACAATATATAAGAAGGATTCCACACCCTTACTTACTGCCTCTCCATATTTTGGATTGTTAGATAAATGAGCTCAGCCAGGTGCCTCCCCCAGTGATGCTGCTGCCAGATGACTTTAAGGCCAGCTCCAAGATCAAGGTCAACAATCACCTTTTCCATAGGTAAGTGAGGATCCTTGCCCTTCCCTAGGGGGGGAAAAAGAATTAAAAGTTAAGGATAGGGCTGGAAATGTGGCTTATTGGTAGAGTGCTTGCCTAGCATGCATGAAACCCTGGATTTGATTCCTCAGTACCACATACACAGAAAAAGCCGGAGATGGCCCTATGGCTCAAGTGGTAGAATACTAGCCTTGAGCAAAAGAAGCTCAGGGACAGTTCCCAAGCCCTGAGTTCAAGCCCTAGGACTGGCTCCCCCCAACCCCCCCCAAAAAATATTAAGAGTAGCTGGGTGCCAGTGGCTCACACCTGTAATCCTAGCTACTCAGGGGGCTGAGATCTGAGGATCACAGTTCATAGCCATCCCGAGGAGGAAGGTCCCTGAGTCGCTTATCTCCAATAAACTACCAGAAAACCAGAAGTGGCACTGTGGCTCAAAGTGGTAGAGCACTAGCTTTGAGCTGAAGAGCTCAGGGACAGTGCCCAGACCCAGAGTTCAAACCCATGACTGATGAAAAAAAAGTTAAGAAGTTGGCTCCATTGGTAGACTAATAGCTAGTGAGCCAAAGCATTAGATACTGAGTTCAATTCCCAGTCTCCCACCTAAAAAAAAAAAAAAAAAAAGATTAAACTGAAGATTTTAGATTTAGGAGCCTAACTTAAAAGTTGTATGGTTTAACATCCTTCCTAATGCATAAATTCAGTTTTGTATAAAGACAGCATTGAAATAATTTCTGATATTGTCATACTGCTATATGTGCTAATTTTCTCTCCTCTAGTCTGGCAGTTCCTCAAGTAGATATGTTTAGATGCCATTGCCATTAGCTTCTGGTAGGGATGCCCTGAAAGAAATACTGGAATACTCTAAGACCTGCTATTTCAGAAGATGCCATTCAAAACAGTGGTAACTATTGTCACTTCTGTGTGTGTGTGTGTGTGTGTGTGTGTGTGTGTGTGTGTGTGTGTGTGTGTGTGTGTGTTAGAGAGAGAGAGAAAGAAAGAATGAGAGAATGAGAAAGAGAAAGAGAGATGATTCTTGGCTTGAATTCAGGGCCTGGGGGCTGTCCCTGACCTTTTTTGCTCAAAGTGAGTGCTCTACCACTTGAGCCACAGCTCCATTTCCAACTTTTTGGTAGTTAATTGGAGATAAGAGTCTCACAGACTTTCCTGCCGTGACTGGCTTCAAACTGTGATCCCAGCCTTCTAAGTGGGATTATGGGCTTAAATCACAGTGCCCAGCTATTGCCAACTTTTGAATGTCTCCAACTGGCTTGAGGTTTGAGAAATGCTGCAGTTTGCATGGACAGGAGAGCCTTGCTGTACATAATCAGCTGTGTGGCAGACAGGCTACCTAATTTCACTGAGATATAATGTAGCCTTCTCTAAAATGGAAACAGTATGTTTTAAAGTACCTCACAGAGCTTTATGGGAAGCAAATGAGGTAGGAAGTATAAAGGTGCTTTATAAACTGTCAAGCCTCATACAAATGTAAAATGAAACTGTTACTTTGTTGTCTTGCTTTAAAAACTTGTATTTCAGAGAAAATCTGCCCAGTCATTTCAAGTTTAAAGAGTATTGTCCCCAAGTCTTCAGGAACCTCCGTGATCGATTTGGCATTGATGACCAGGATTACTTGGTATGGGTCTATTATGGGGTGAGGGGTAGACCCTGGCAATTTAGGAGTCCATTGGGGTAATCATGTTTGGAGAAGTGAAAGCTAAAGCAAATATGATTCTTTATCCCTCTGAGTTCACAGCATCTTAAAAAATTTAATGAAGCTAACAAAGCTGTCCTTGAGAAGATAAAGATACATTAGGAATTTTGCATTATGTTTCATTCAGTTTGTATGTGGACCCCAAGAATTTTGCATTGTGTTTCATTCCGTTTGTATGTGGACCCCAATTACGAAGCTCTGCTTAATCTCATCCCCCACCTTCCTCATCCTCATCCACCTTCAGAGACATTTGGTTTGTCATTATCCTATTACTTGTACTTCTATAAAAGGAGATAGGAAAAGAGCTTCTAGCCTGTTATTTGTCTCCAGGTATCCCTTACCCGAAGCCCCCCAAGTGAAAGTGAAGGCAGTGATGGCCGATTCCTTATCTCCTATGACCGGACTCTGGTCATCAAGGAAGTATCCAGTGAGGACATTGCTGACATGCATAGTAACCTGTCCAACTACCACCAGGTCAGTCCTCTCAGACTCATTCTTTCCTCTCCGTAGCTCAGCTGCTAGAACCCCCAAAGAGACTTTTTCTCTCCCTACAATCTATTTTCTCCTTCCAGAAACACTTAATATCATGTTTTGTCTTTTTAAAAAAACTAGGCATTTCAGAGAGAAAAGGGGGGCCTCTGCACACTTATTTGTGTCTAACAGAAGAATTTGATTGGTCACTTTCCATTTGGTACTTACTAAAATCATTGTGGATTTATACATAAAGGGCACATGTGTAGCAAAATATAAAGTGTAGATTAAGTCAGAATTAGAGGAAGCATTATCATCAGCTACACTGCAGATAGGAGTAATAATTTGCAGAGAGAAGAAAACCGGCACAAAGGCATAATTAAGATAGCTTGCAAGGGAGAATCCATTGTTACAGCTAGCCCTATATAGGATTAATGAAGCTTTTCTGTCTGATCATCTGAACTTAGAATGTAGAGTATATGGAATGTTTTGGTGATAAAAGCATTCTTCCTGAGATGTCTTTCAACTAAAGGAAATTCTCACCAAAATCAATGAATAAGGAATAAATGGAAGACAGATAAGTAAGGCATGGTGGTGTATGTGTATAATCCCAGCACTTGGGAGACTATAAAGAAGGAGGATTGTAAATTCATGACCAGCCTGGGGTATATAGCAAGATCCTACCTACTTGCCCATCTTCTCCCCCTCCCCCCCCCCAATAAAAGCAAAACAAACCCTCTAAAATGAATTGGCTTATTTGGCAAACATTTAATGGCTGTCATAGTATTAAGCAGTAGAGAAATGGGTGAATGGGATGGTTATGGCCCTTGAGGATCTCTTGGTTTAGACTGGCAGTAAACCAGCATTAGCACACAGAAGATGTATGCAGTAGTATATACAGAATGCTCTAGGGGGACTGGGAAGCTGGCTCAGTGGTAGAGTGCTTGCCTCACATGTATGAGGCCCTGGGTTTGATCTCTCAGCACCACATAAACAAAAAAAGCTGGAAGTGGTGCTGTGGTTCAAATGGTAGAGTGCTAGCCTTAAGCTGAAGAGCTGAGGAACAGTGGCCAGGCCCAGAGTTCAAGCTCCATGACTGACAAAAAACAAACAACAACAAAAAAAACCCCAGAATGCTGTAAGGATACGGAGAAGGTATCATCCTAACTCATATGGGCAAAGAGGAGTATTTGGGAGACTTTTGAAAAGAGTTTCTTGGAGGTGGAATCATAGAAATTGATCTTTTTTTAAAAAAGAATTATTCTAGAGAGAGAGAGTTGCTGGGAATCAACACTCAAGGCTTCTTACTTGCTAAGCATGCACTATACCACTGAGTGGCATCCTCATCTCAGGATGAATTCTTGAGTGACTAGTAGAGGTTAACTATTGGCAAGGAGAAAAGGAACATTCTAGGCAAAGAAAAATAGCACTTGTAAAGGCATGGAGCCATGAGAAAGTTTGATCAAGGAACCGCAGGATATTCAGTGTGGCTGCAACATGGTATTGTGGAAAAATAGAAGCTACATTGTAAAGGAGCTTCTAAGCTACACAGAGAAGTTTGGCATTTTTCCTGAAGGTTGTTTGCAGGAAAGTTAGGTAGTGAATGTGTGTGTACCCGTGTGTGTATGTATCTCTTTGGGACAGCTTGTTGAAAGAATGGATTGTAGAAGGGAATAGTGAGTGATTTTAATAGCCTAGGTGAGAGTGATTAAGGCCTAATGATGGCAGTGGGCGCAGAAAGGAAAACTTAGTAATGGTTGTGGAAGTTAAAGGAAAGGAGCCACCATTTACCAACAGTGGTGAAACAGAAAGAAGAGTAGGGTTTGTTTTTTGAGGAAGATAGTTCTAATTTGGATACAGTGAAGTTTTAGGCCTTGAATGAGTTACCGAGGTACTGTGATGGGAGCTAAGAATAAATGTTTTTTTTTTTCTTTCCCCCTGTTGTGTTGTTTTGTTTGTTTTTATGCCAGTATCAGTGCTTGAACTAAGGAGCTTGTACTTGCTCACAGCTGGCACTTTACCACCTGTGCTCAGCTAAGAGCATTTTAAGGAGAGTCTGTCTGTTCAGCAGGATTAAGTGCCACATGGTTGAAATAGGATAATGACTAGACTGTCTATTAGATTTGACAGTTAAAGGATTTGGGAGGGATTTCAGAGGCAAAATAAGGACACAAATCTGATTTCAATGATGAGGTAAGGATGAGAGATAGGAAATGGATTGATTACTTACTGATGGTTTTTCTTAAAAAGCTAGCTTTGAAGAGAAATGGGCAGTAACAGAAAGAAATAGTAAGCCTTAAAAGAGGAACTGGAGCCAGGGACCAGTGGCTTGTACCTACAGTCCTGACTACTTAGTAGGCTGAGATCTGAGGATCATCATTCAACACCAGCCTGGACAGAAAGTCTCTGAGACTCTTCTCTTCATTTAACTAGCAAAATCCAGAAGTGGAGCTATGGCTCAAGTGGTAGAGTGCCAACCCTGAGGGACAGCAGGCCCTGAGTTCAAGCTCTAGTACCAAGACACACACAGACACACAAGGAGAGAGAAAGTGGTAGATTTTTTTGTTTTTGTGGTGCTGGGGATTGAACCCAGAGTCTCATGCATTCTGGGTAAAGGTATACCATTGAGCTACATCTTTATCACTAATATAAGAATTTGGGTAATTGGGTTTTTTTGGTTTTGTTTTTGGTCCGGTTGTGGGGCCTGAACTCTGGGCCTAGGCGCTGTCCCTCAGCTCTTCAGCTCAAGGCTAGCACTCTACCACTTGAGACATAGCGCCATTTCCAACTTTTTTCGTTTTGCTTATGTGGTGCTGAGGAATTGAACCCAGGGCCTCAGGCATGCAAGGCAAGCGCTCTACCACTGAGCCACCTTCCCAGCCTGGTAATTGGGGTTTTTTTTGTGCTGGTTCTGGAGCTTGAACTCAGGGCCTAGTGTTGCCCTGAACTGCTTTTACTCAAAGTTAATGCTATACCACTTAGTCACAGCTCCATTTCTGGATTTTTGGTAGTTTATTGTAGATAATAGTCTCACGAACTTTTCTTGCCTGGGCTGGCTTGGATCCTCAGATCTCAGCCTCCTGACTAGCTAGGATTACAGGCATGAGCCACTGGCTCGTGTGTGTGTGTGTGTGTGTGTGTGTGTGTGTGTGTGTGTGTGTGTGTGTGTGTGTGTGTGTGTGTGTGTGTGTGTAGCTCAGGGCCTGGGTGCTTTCCTGAGCTCCTTTTGGTCCTTTGGATTACAGGCATGAGCCACTGGCGCGCGTGTGTATGTGTGTGTGTGTGTGTGTGTGTGTGTGTGTGTGTGTGTGTGTAGCTCAGGGCCTGGGTGCTTTCCTGAGCTCCTTTTGGTCCTTTGGATTACAGGCATGAGCCACTGGCGTGCGTGTGTGTGTGTGTGTGTGTGTGTGTGTGTAGCTCAGGGCCTGGGTGCTTTCCTGAGCTCCTTTTGGTCCTTTGGATTACAGGCATGAGCCACTGGCGCGCGTGTGTATGTGTGTGTGTGTGTGTGTGTGTGTGTGTGTGTGTGTGTGTGTAGCTCAGGGCCTGGGTGCTTTCCTGAGCTCCTTTTGGTCCTTTGGATTACAGGCATGAGCCACTGGCGCGCGTGTGTATGTGTGTGTGTGTGTGTGTGTGTGTGTGTGTGTGTGTGTGTGTAGCTCAGGGCCTGGGTGCTTTCCTGAGCTCCTTTTGGTCCTTTGGATTACAGGCATGAGCCACTGGCGTGTGTGTGTGTGTGTGTGTGTGTGTGTGTGTGTGTGTGTGTGTGTGTGTGTGTGTGTTGGATTACAGGCATGAGCCACTGGCGTGTGTGTGTGTGTGTGTGTGTGTGTGTGTGTGTGTGTGTGTGTGTTTGTGTGTGTGTGTATATATGTGTGTGTATCAGGGCCTGGGTGCTTTCCTGAGCTCCTTTTGCTCCAGGCTAGTGCTCTACCACTTTGAGCCACAGCTCTATTTCTGATAGTTAGAGATAAGAGTTAGAAGTAAGAGTTTCAAGGCCTTTCCCGCTCAGGCTAGCTTTGAACCTCTATGCTGAGATCTCAGCCTCCTGAGTAGTTAGAATTACAGGCATGAGCTACCAATGCCCAGCTTTTTTGAATTTTTTAAGGCAAGGTTTCACTATATGTCCCAGACTTGCCAGGAACTTGTTGTATAGCCCAGACTGAGCTCAAACTCATGCTTCTTCCGCCTCCAGAGTGCTGTGCTAGGCATGTGCCACCATACCTGAATGAGGAATTATTTCTTAAGAATAAAATTGCAAGCCATCTTTTTTTTTCCCCAGAAGAACTAAGGATTAAGCCTTACCACTTGAGCTATGCCTCAGTCTTTGTGTTTTTAGACAAGGTCTTAAGATTACCTTTGCTTGCATTGGCTTTGAACTCAAGCTCCTCCTGCCTTTTCTTCTAAGTAGCTGAGGTTATAGGCATGTACCACCATACCTGCCTCCAAATTGCAAGCCATCTTGGCAGGCGTTTTTATTACAGGAATCTAACCCACCAAGAAATACTGGACTAGTAAAATCATGTTACTGACAAACAGATGTAAGTTCAAATTCTGCTTCTGGGACCACTTGCATAACAAAAAGGGCATAAAATGAGGGTAATAATACTACCTTCATCATCTTAAAGAATGATAACAGTGAAATTAGAATAGGCACTTTTTTGTGTGGTACTTTTTTTTTTTTTTGCCAGTCCTGACGCTTGAACTCAGGGTCTTTCTGGGCTCTGTACCTGAGCTGCTCTGTGGTCAAGGCTGGTGCTCTACCACTTGAGCCACAGCACCACTTCCTGCTTTTTCTGGTTATGTAGTACTGATTAAATCAAACCTGGGGCTTCATGCATGCTAGGCAAGCACTCTACCACTAAGCCACATGCCCAGCTTGGTATTTGGTTTGAACTCAGGCTCTTGTGCTTGCTTACCGGGCACTCTACCACTTATCCAGCCCTTTTTGCTTTCACTGTTTTTGTTTGTTTGTTTTTTTGGGTCCAGTTGTGGGCCTGAACTCTGGGCCTGGGTGCTGTCCCTCAGCTCTTCAGCTTAAGGCTAGCGTTCTACCACTTGAGCCACAGCGCCACTCCCTGCTTTTTTTTTTTTCTGCTTATGTGGTGCTGAGGAATTGAACCCAGGGCCTCATGCATGCAAGGCAAGCGCTCTACCACTGAGCCACCTTCCCAGCCTCCTGCTTTCACTATTTTATTATGTTTATTTTTTTGTGTGTGTGCCAGTGCTAGGGTTTGAACTCAGAGCCTGGGCACTGTCTCTGCACTTTTTTGCTCAAGCCTAGTGCTCTTGAGCCACAGGTCTACTTCCAGCTTTTTGATGATTAACTGGAGATAATCTCATAGGCTTTTCTGTCCAGGCTGGCTTTGAACCATGACCCTCAGATTCCAGTCACCTGAGTAGTTACGATTACAGATGCAAGACACTAGTGCCTGGCACTTACTTTAAATTGTTATTTTCTGGCAGTGCTGGTGCTAAACTCTGGGCCTCAGGCTTCCTAGACAGAAGTTGAACCGCTTGAGCCATGCCTATAGTCTCCTGTTTTCATTGGTTATCTTCATGGTCTTGATTTATAATTAGGCTGGCCTGGGCTGTGATCCTTCTATTTATGCTTCCCTGTGTCACTGGGGATGAACAACAGGCCTGCCCCACTGTATCCAGCCATCGTGCTTCTTCTGTAGCTGGGATAGCAGGCATGTGCACTTTACCCAGCCATTGAGTAAGAGAGAGTTTGTAAACTTCTTTTTGCCTGAACTGGCCTTGATCTGTGATTCTCCTGATCTCTACCTCCCAAGTAGCTAGGATTACAGGCTTGAGCTACTGTACCTGGCTACTTTCATTTTTCTAATAGGCTCTTACTTTTTGCCCAGGACGGCCTGAACCCTGATCCTCCTATTTATGCTTCCTGAGTACCTGGGATTACAGGTTCGTGCTATCATGCCTAGCTTTTTATTGATTCAGATGGGGTCTTGCAAACATTTCCTGGCCTGGGCTGGCCTGGAGCCACAATCCTCCCTCTTGTCTTCTTGAGTAGTTAGGATTATAAATGAGAGCCACCTTGCCTAACTGTGAGAAAGCACTTTAAAATTTAAAGACATTATAGAAATGCAAGAAATCAGAGAAGATAGGGCTCCAAAAGCTGCAGATAACTAGGAACACCAATAAGAAATTTCTACCAGTTTTTTTTTTTTTTTTTGGTGCCAATTTTGGAGCATGAACTCAAAGCCTTGCTATCTTACTCAGCTTCTTTGCTCAGGGCTGGTGCTTTATCACTTGAACCATGCCTCCACTCTGATATTTTGCTGATGAATTGGAGATAGAGTCTGGAAGACTTTTCTGTCCAGACTGGCTTTGAACCTTGGTCTTCTAGGTCTCAAACTCCTGAGTAGCTAGGATTGCAGTTATGAGCTACTCGAAGTTTTCTGCTTCACCGCAGAATGGTAGAATTTGGATTCCCATCCCTGGGCTGTTTGTCTATCTGCTGCTTAGCCTGTTCTTATTCCTCCTTTCTTTTCTAGTACATTGTGAAGTGCCATGGCAATACACTACTGCCCCAGTTCCTGGGGATGTACCGAGTCAGTGTGGAGAATGAAGATAGCTACATGCTCGTGATGCGTAATATGTTTAGCCACAGGCTTCCTGTGCACAGAAAGTATGATCTCAAGGTAAGAGGAAACAGGATAGATTGGGTTTAGGGAGAGACTGCTGAACGCCTGTGAATAGGAATGGGCCTGGGAGGGCAAGGACAGTTCCTTTCAATAGAAAGAAGCCTCTGGGTTTTGAGTATTGATCATAGGAACTGAGTTCTGCCTATTCTTTTAGCCACTTCTGCTGACTTGGTCTTTGGGTCTCTCCACAGGGTTCTCTAGTGTCCCGGGAAGCCAGCGATAAGGAAAAGGTGATTCTCATTTTAGGTGATAGGGTCGGGGAGCAGGGGATGGATAAAAGGGACCTTAGGAAAAAGAGTTCATTCTCATAATGGGTAAGACTCACTTGCTGTTCATTTCATCTTAAACTACTGAAAATTTCTGCTGATCCAAGAATGGGTGGAAGGGGCAGTGGGATTTAGGGTGGGTGGAGATGCAGGCCATAATAGCCAAGTGATCAACCCTCGACTTCCCATTCTGGGTCCTTTGTATTCAGGCAGCTATTTTTGCTGAAGAAGGAAGAAAAGTCTGCATGAAGGTTGTTGACTGAAAACTGAGTGGAAAAGCAGTGGGATGTAATGTGGGTTTCAGCTTCATGACTGAGTCTAGGCAAGCTTCAGTGTGGAGCCAAGCAGAGTGACTATAAGACTGATCTCTTGGGGCTGGGAAGGTGGCTCAGTGGTGGAGTGCTTGCCTTGCATGCATGAGGCCCTGGGTTCGATTCCTCAGCACTACATAAGCAGAAAAAAGCCAGAAGTGGCTATGTGGCTCAAGTTGTAGAGTACTTGCCTTGAGCTGAAGAGCTGAGGGACAGTTCCCAGGCCCAGAGTTCAGCCCCCATGACTGACAAAGAAAAAAGACTGATCTCTTTCTACGACCAATGAGATAGAGCCCTGGGCAAGAGGCAAGGTTCTCCATTGAAACCTTGAAGAAGGAATATATTCCCAAGCACCCCTTTCTCTACTCTAGGTTAAAGAATTACCCACCCTCAAGGACATGGACTTCCTCAACAAGAATCAGAAAGTGTATATTGGTGAAGAGGAAAAGAAAGTATTTCTGGAGAAGCTAAAGCGAGATGTGGAGGTGATGACTGCAATGCTTGGAAATGCCTTGTTTTATTTATTTTGCCTTTTCTGATTATCTCTCCATTCACAATTGGAAGGAGCTCCATCCCCTTATTCTTTAGGTCTTCTGCATGGGGTAGGGGGAGGGGCGGGTTGAGTATGAGACAGGAAGAACCTCTGGTGGTGACTCCTAAGAGGCTGAAATGCGTGCAGAGTAAACTTAGACCCCAGGGCATTGCAGTATTACAGGGCAGAGTATATCACAACACCTCATTTTTTATACTTTCTTTCTCTTCTGGAGGGACCAGAAATTCAAGGGTAGACATAAGGGGTGGTACCTGAGAGTAGGGAGGGAGAGCTGGGGTGTATGATTTTGTCAATGGTTCTCAGTTTCTAGTACAGCTGAAGATAATGGACTACAGCCTTCTGCTAGGCATCCACGACATCATCCGGGGCTCTGAGCCAGAAGAGGAGGGGCTTCCACGAGAGGATGACTCAGAATGGGATGGGGATTGTAACCTGGCTGGACCTCCTTCTCTGGTGGGTTCCTATGGCACCTCTCCTGAGGGTATCGGAGGCTACATCCATTCCCACAGACCACTGGGCCCTGGAGAGTTTGAGTCTTTCATAGATGTCTACGCCATCCGGAGTGCAGAGGGTAAGAGAGCTTGGATATTCCAAAGATGAAGGGGAAAATGCCTTTAGGGGTCAGAAACTAGGTGGTGGGTGGAGAGACTGCTTAGCTTTTCCAAACAAAACTCACTGGTTCCTGGGGAAGAGGAATTGGGACTATACCTGCTCTTCATGGTTGGTTTCAATCCCCAGGAGCCCCCCAAAAGGAAGTGTATTTCATGGGCCTCATTGACATCCTGACACAATATGATGCCAAGAAGAAAGCAGCTCATGCAGCCAAAACTGTCAAGCATGGGGTAAGAATTCCCCAAGACTTGTCCTCTCCTGTCTCTACTATTCCCTGGGAAGAGAGAGCCCCTGTGTCAGAGCAATGGGGTGGCAGAAGGAGAGAAATGGGCAAAATGGATAGCAGGATGGGGAATAGGAAGGGTACTGGAGTGCCTGACATTGTTCTGTACTTCTTTCACAGGCAGGAGCAGAGATTTCTACTGTCCATCCTGAGCAGTATGCTAAGCGATTCCTGGATTTTATTACCAACATCTTTGCCTAAGAGCCCACCTAACCATGATGATTGCTGCTTTATGGTCAAGGTGGCAGGGTTCTGAGAGGCTTGGGGGAACTGTGGGTATTATGGCCGTTACTACTACTTTTTCTCCTCTGCTAAATTCAGGCTGCAGGCTCCTTCCATACAGATAACTCCATCTTGTTGAATAGGCTCTTCCTGGCTCTCAGAAATATTGTCCTTTCTCTCCTTTTTACTTTTCTGCCTCTCTCCCTCTCCCCACCATGCCCTCTTGCTTCATTAGAGTGTTACTACTAACTCTCTCCCAAGTGCCTTGATCTTTGTAAAATCTCCTATTGTTTCTATAAAATAGGAGGAGCTGGGGGCAGGGGTTTGTTTGCTATCTTCAGGACTCCCAGAGGACTGGACAATGGACCAGCTCAAGCAACTGTTCTGGATGCTTTGCTGTGTGGGATGAACTAAGAGTGTTGGAATGTTGCTGGTGACTTTCTAGAACTCACTGAGTCATGCCTCCCTCCTGGTAGGCTCTAGGATGGAGGACTTTGAGGTTACTAAGATGTGGGTGCAGGCATGCACACAAATTGGACCGTTCCACATATATATAGGTGGGGTAGAGAGTGGTCAGCAGGCTGACACGTCAGAGGAGGGACCTGAGACTACTGTGACGACGCAGGGAATTGGAAATGGTCTGTGTCAAGGATCAACTGACTATTCTCCCATCTTGTCTCCCATCCCACTTCCACCTAGCTGCGCTTCTGGCACAGGAGTCCAGAGAGAGCCAGAAGTGTTTGAGCCTGGGTAAAGGTGCCCGACTACTATGCTTCCCAGACCCTAGTACCCTTGCTGGGGCTGGAACCTTTCAGTGGGGACATGGACAGTTTTGGATGGTGGAATGAAGGTTCATTCCCCATGTTAAATTTCTTCTTCCTGTCTAGCCATCCCCAAGATTATTTCTGGCAGAAGGGACTATCCCTACCTGAGTCAGTTCTGGTAATTTCAAGAGAACAGAGGTCTAGAGTGTGGGAACCTCATCATCACCTGGGTGTGCCCACCCAGCACACTTCTTTCCCAAACCCTTTTCCCCTGAACTGTTATCATGCTGTTCTCTTCTGTCCCATCCTCTACTGTTACTGTGTCTCCCAGGGGACAGATGGCCTTCTTTGTCATCTTCACTCTCCACCCCCAGAGAGGAGTCAGAGCCATAACTCAAATCACCCGGCCCCCCTCCAAAGATAGCTGAGTTGATGCATGATCTTCTCAGTTGCAGAGGACTCTTGAGATGAAATAGATTGTCCTCTTCTCCTTCCCAATGCCTTTAGGGCTTAAGATACCCATTTTTACTCGCCTCCCCCCATTCCTCTGATGCTTCCACGATTTTTTCCCATAAAGCTGGCCAGTGGAGATGCAGTGCTGCTTTGTTTTCTATCTGGTCAGACTCTCTGGTCTCACAAGACTTCATGAGGGCCATAGGAAGATGCTCTCTCTTCATCTCTGCTCCAAAGGAAGTAGGAAGAGGGATCCTGATCAGTTGGAGCCCCTGCAATATCTTCCTGTCAGGGGCCTGCTGGATCTTTTCTATTCCCATCATCTCCCTTCTCCCCCCTCTCCACCCCATTGTTGAATGCAATAAAGCTCTGTGACACCAGCAGCCATTTCTCTAGAACCGGGTTCTCTGACCATGAGGCTAATATATCATGGGCAGTATTGTCAACTTCATTTATTGTTTCTGTTTTATTAATAAAAAAAGATCTTGTGTATTTGCCCCCATTTATCACAATACAAAAATAAATTATTCAGTTTCCTTCACATAAATGCCTTTTTTTTTTTCCTCCTTACATACTTTTCTGGGGAATCCTGTGCTTAGAGGGGCCAACAGGAATTCTGGTCTTCAGAGTGCTGGGCCCCTAACTTAGGATGTAGATGTCTTAAGATGGTTGTGGATTTAAATAGTAGTGAGGAGTAGACATAGAAACAGAAAGCATTAAGCCAGGTTTTGGTCGTACATGCCTATAAATCCAGCACTCCGCAGCAGCAGGATTGGCAGTTAAATGGCATCTTGGGTTACAAAGTTGTGACCCTATCTCCAAACAAAAAATGGTTTGATTTTGTGTGAATTCAGTAGTGTTGGGGGCAGGTAGTAGGATGATGTACTCACCTCCCCCCAGGGCTGTGGGCGCCTCAGCCCACCAGCTAAGTGACAAGGAAGTGTTTCCCCAGGCTTCCTGGGAAAGCTGTCCTCTGTTGGAGGACAGGAAGAGTACAGCAGGGTCCTGGGAAAATGAAGTGTGCAGCCCTCCAGTGCAGAAGGGGAGTGGAAGGGGGTGGTTGCCTAGAGGTTGTGGCCAGTCTGGGAGATTTGATGTGCCTTGGCTGAGGTCTTCTTGGCTGGAAAAACCTGGTTTCATGTGGCCCTGGGGAAGTGAGTTGGACTGGGGGCGGAGACTGCTCTGATGTGGGAAGCAGAGCAGAGCAGCAGCTTTTTTTCCCCCCTTTGAGAATTTTTAACTCTATTTGAACCATACCCTTGACACCACTACCCCCAAAATAAAACATTTTAAAAGGACCTGTTTATTTCTGCACCAGCCTCAATGTCCCTATTTGTGAAAAGAGGGGGGGAAAAGTCAATGGCACTTGGCAGTACCTATCTGCTAACAGGCTTGGGGGGGGGGGGGGGTTACAGAAAGTAGCAAGGTAGAAGAGGCAAGAGATGAGGGAGGGGATGGAAATCGTTTAGTAGTGGGATTTTTCTGAATAGTTCCAGTGCCTTTCTTTTTACAATGATTTTTACCATCCCACCTTGTTCCTCAAAAGTCTTCACAGCATAAGGATTTCAAATAATTGCGCTCCCCTCCAGATCACCATATGCCCACCGACACTGCGCCCACCCACTCACCCACCCATCCACACCACTCCCAAGAGCTGGCTGGGAGAGAAAAGGGAGAGGGCTCCTCCAGGCGGGGGTGGGGGGGTGGCGTCTCGAGAGGGATTTAACCTCCTACCCTCGGTTTGCATGACGCCACCCCCTCCCTCCAAAAGGCTGGGACTGCGCCTCCATTTTTGTTTTGGGGCGGAAGGGCAGGGGCTCCCGGGTAGAAGGGGAGGGGTCAAAGGAGAAACGGGGGAGCTGTCTTCCCTCCTTCCCTTTCCCTCACTCTGCACCCCCTACGCCCCTTTCTCCCTTCTTGAGGTCTCCCCCCCCTCCCTGTTGCTAAGGCCCGGACCGTCATCCCAGCAACAGCCTCAGTCATGTGACCGGCAATGGCGGCGCTGACGAGAGGTAGGTGAGCCCGGCGCCCCCCACACCCACCGCATGCCCCCGGGGCCCCGCTCGCACCCCTCGCAAGCCCCCCGCGCTCCCTGCGCCCCATCCTCTGCCTCCATCCCCCGTGCGCCGCGCCAGAGCCCCCCTAGGGGCCGGGCCAATCATCTTTCTAGCATCCCAGCCTTGGCCTCGGTTTAGGGGTTCTGTGGGCCGCAATCGGGGCCGACATGCATCCCCATCAAGTGGTGGGACTCCGGGGGGCTTCCGCCAGTGGGGGATACGGGGAGTTGGTTCCGGGTCGGGTCCTGGAAGAGGTCGTGGGGGGAGGGGGAGCTGCCTCAGTGCACGCCCTCCCCCCTCCAGGGACCCTTGCCCTTCCTGGCCGTCCCTGCCTCGGGCTGCTGGCGGGAGGGAGGGAGGGACTGGCCCTGTGTCCGGCCCCAGGTTGCCCCAGAGGAATCGCAGACCCAGCCTAAACTGTGGCCCCGCCTCCCTATGCTGTGCCAGCAGGACTTGGAGCTAGGACACCTCGATCCTGGGTCTCCTCTGATGGGGAGGGTCTGTACCACCACGCACAGACAGTACGAATGGAGACTAGGGTTCCTTCTGGCTTTGGGGGAGGGCACTCTGATACAGGCACAAACAGAGAGCTTCTTTTTTGGATCAGTCAACAAATTGAGGTCACACTAATGGCCTCTCTTTCTAATTGAGCTGCACCTGGAGGTGGTGTGGGGACAGCCCTGTAGCTGAATTGTGACAGGACCCTGGGGAAACCTCAGCCCCCTCTATCTGAGCCTCTGCTTGAGCCCCGCCCCTTCGGTGCTGGGTTTAAAAGATGTCAAGGAGAACTTTGTTATTGCCAGGGCCACTTTGTTGGCATCCCTAACTGACTTCATCAGCACCCACTGTTGTTAGATCTCAAGGAGAACTCCCCCTCAGCTACAGGGACCAAATGGTTTGAGAATGTGGCAAGGACATGGAAGTCTTAAGAAATGTTCCTGTCCATGTGAGGGAGGAGGCAAGAATGACCTCCATATGTGTGGGCTTTTTTTCCCTCCCTGTCCTCTCTTATCTGTGCTCTGGACTCTTTGAAAAAGCCTCCGCGTTGGAGAAGAAAAGAGAAAGTTAGAGAAGTTCCTTTAGCAACTTGAAGAAAGAGGACTGGGAGTGGAACTCTGCAGGAGAGGAGAGAAATGGAAGAGAAGTTGTTTCTGGGCTAGGTTAGGGAAATGACATTTGTCATCATAACTCTTTGGTCTCCCGTTTTCCCACAGTCCTGGTCAGCTGAGTGTGGAAATAGAAGGATTTCTGCTGCCATTATCTTCCATGGGATTTCCAGGTAACTGTACCCCAAGAGCATCTCAGCCCTTACATTGGTTTCCTCCAGTGCTTCAAGAAATCCCCTCCCCAGTAACCTATACCCAAGTTCCTGTCTGTTCCATGGGCTCTTGGGTTGGGATCTGTGGAGCTTTGGGAAGGGGGTTCTCACTTTCCCTCCATTTTCTTCCCATACCACCAGGTCACACAACCTACAAGTAGGGAGCCCAGAAAGTGAGAGCAATCCTGCATGCCAATTCTAAGCTCTTCAGGATCAAAGTGAGCACAAAGGAGGGTGGAAAGGCTTCCTCCTCTTTTAAAGAGCCCATTTTTCACCCAGAGTGGGGGAGGGACAGGTGGTTGTTTCTGTGATGATAAGAGAACTGATGCTTGGCTTACAGTAATGAGGTATAAAAATGTTTTGCTTCTTAGGGGATGTTGGGGTTATGGGAGATAAGGGGAGATCGAAAATGAGTATGCAAGTCAGGTGCCACTATAATCCTAGCTACATGGCAGGCTCAGATCTGGAGGATTCTGATTTGAGGCCAGCCTAGGCAGAAAAGTTCACTAGACATTTATCTCCAAACTAACCAACCAGCATGGCTGGAGTTGTGATTTAATTTGTAGAGTACCAGCCTAACAAGTGTGAAGCCCTGAAGGGAAACGTTTGCGAGAGGGGCTGGGGTTGGGTTTTGAGAGAATAGAAGTAATAAAAGGTGTGGAAAGAACTTGAAGTAGGAGGCACTTATATATGTATCAAACGGGGACCCCCCACCCTGAGTCCCTTTCACCCTGGGGGCAGTGTCGTTCGTCCTGTCCAGAATGGCAGCCTGTGGAGGCACCTGCAAGAACAAAGTGACTGTCTCCAAGCCTGTCTGGGACTTCCTGAGCAAGGAGACCCCAGCCCGGCTGGCTCGGCTACGGGAGGAGCACCGAGTGTCCATCCTCATAGATGGCGAGACGTCTGACATCTATGTTCTCCAGCTTTCCCCACAGGGCCCTCCCCCAGCCCCTCCCAATGGGCTCTACCTGGCCCGGAAGGCTCTCAAGGGGCTGCTGAAAGAGGCAGAGAAAGAGCTGAAGAAAGCTCAGAGGCAGGGGGAGCTCATGGGCTGCCTGGCTTTGGGGGGTGGTGGGGAGCACCCAGAGCTGCATCGCCCAGGCCCACCCCCTCTTCGAGCAGCCCCACTATTGCCTCCAGGGGCACGGGGGCTCCCCCCTCCTCCTCCTCCCCTGCCCCCTCCTCTTCCTCCCCGCCTCCGGGAGGAGGCAGAAGAGCAGGAGAGCACCTGCCCCATCTGTCTCGGGGAGATCCAGAATGCCAAGACATTGGAGAAGTGCCGGCACTCCTTCTGTGAGGGCTGCATCACCAGGGCCCTGCAGGTGAAAAAGGCCTGCCCCATGTGTGGCCGCTTCTATGGGCAGCTGGTGGGCAACCAGCCCCAGAATGGGCGGATGCTGGTTTCCAAGGACGCCACCCTCCTACTGCCCAGCTATGAGAAGTACGGCACCATTGTCATCCAGTATGTCTTCCCGCCCGGTGTCCAGGGGGTAAGAGCACCATGATCTGCCCTTACCCTTTGCTTTTTCCCAGGCTTGCTGGAAAAATGGGTGGGAGGGAGGGCATTTTTTTAGGTATGGTATTATCACCCAGTATGCCTTCCTGCTCAGTGCTCTGAGTAGGAGCTCAGATGTCTAAGGGAAGTCCCCTGAAGCCCAGCTTTCCCAACACCATGATTGTGAGCACACACAAAAATCAGGTGTGAGGACTGAGGTGTAGCTCTGCGGTAGAACATGAACCTAGCCTGGTATGAAGGAAGCCCTGAATTTAAGGGGTGACATTGAACAAGATGCATTTTACTTACAACCTGAATTCTGGAATTGAAACTACTTAATAAAAATAAAAAATATTGGGGCTGGGAAGGTGGCTCAGTGGTAGAGCGCTTGCCTTGCATGCATGAGGCCCTGGGTTCGACTCCTCAGCACCACATAAGCAAAAAAAGAAAAAAGCCAGAAGTGGTGCTGTGGCTCAAGTGGTAGAGCGCTAGCCTTGAGCTGAAGAGCTGAGGGACAGCACCCAGGCCCAGAGTTCAGGCCCCATGACCGGACCCCCCCCCCAAAAAAAAAATATATATATATTAATTTCTGCTGACCTAGCCGGGTACTGGTGGCTCACGCCTG